CCCCGCCCCTTTTTTTTTTTTGCTTTTTATTTTAGAGAAAATAAGTTGTCCAGGATCCCGGACAACTGCCTCACCGGATTTTTCTTTTGTTTTCTCGTTTTCCTTTTGTTTTCTCGTTTTTATTTTCTTAGGAATACGTGCAGTGGCCCTAAGGGCCTCTTGTTGCATACTCGTGAAACACAGTCATAAGTATGGCGCAGATTCCCAGAACCGACCAGATAATACAGAGTTAATACAAATACAGCGGAAGACTTGAGATACATGGACTGACTCTGACCTGACTCGGACTGCAATCGAACACTCTCAATCATTCATCAGGGGTGTGAAAGCCCTGGCCTTGGACATAGACGAAAAGGCCAGGGTCGGAGATCATCCACGGACGAATGGAGGGAGGAGAGAGACGAAGGGAGGAGGCGAGGGAAGATGACGTCAACTCAGTGTTTCAAAAGATAGTATCTTTTTTTTCTTTTTTTTTTTCAAAAATTTGGACCATTGCTCGATTTATGCATGTCATCCTTGCACAGGGGCCATGCTAATCTTCTCTGTATCGTTCCAATTTTAACGGATGTCCCAAATCAGATCCCACAAGTAGTCCTCAACCTATAGTCCCAATGTCGCCGTCTCCAATGTCATCAGAATTCGTAACCATCTTTCATACTCATAGTAGTCCCGTAGGAGAAACCCAGAAGTAGACTTAGACCGAGAAGGTAGGAGGAGAGAGAGAGAGAGAGAGAGAGAGAGAGAGAGAGAGAGTGGCGGAGGAGGAAGAGGGAGAGAAGGCGAGGCCTTTCTCCCCGGTACCTGTCCTGGTCACTATGGCGCTTCAGGAGTCTGGCGCTGGGCCGCGGGCTGGGCCGGTAGCTGGCGCTGTTCCTGCTGCGTTGGTTCCTCCTCGCCGCTGGTGTTGATCTCTCCTCGCTGCTCGCTCTAACGCTGCTGCGCTGTGCTAATCTCCTAACGCTCAAACGCTGCGCTAATCCTGAAGACTAACTCCAACCTTACTAACCTCCTACTGAGGCTGGTACCCAGCCTTTTGTAGTGCTGGGCCGGCCTCCTACCCGCTGGTACCTACCGGCCTGCACCGTTGATCTGATCAACGGTCCAGCTTCAAAACTGGACTTGGCGCCTAAACACGGCAGCCTCTGCACTGCGCCGCCGGTAGGTCCTATGCTGGACCCGTACCGGCCTTGTGGCCGTTGGCCTGGGCCTCTACCCCTGGCCTGCCTGAACCGCCATGGTCCTGGCCTACCTGGGCCTCTTCTGAACCGTCGTCCCCTTAGGCCTACCCTGCCTATCTGGAACCGGGCCCTAACTGGGGCCTGTGTGGCTCAGAATGCCACACCTCTACTCAGCACATGCACAAAAGACAAAAACATATGGCGGCGTATTATTCCACGTTCTAGCAGAAGATTCATTCTAATTCTGCACATTTGGTGAGTATTGCAGCCAAGCCCTGAGAATCACGTGCAGAGAGGGCCTAGCGAAGTGAGGAACAAATAACTGCTGAAACACAGACCTGAATACGAATCCTGAGTATATATTCAGCCAGCTCGTGCTCCACTTCGTATTCACTGCCTGCCTCGATTTTGGCGGAGGGTCCTTGCTAAATTGCTGCGAGTACCCTTCAGAT